GGGGCGCGCCCAGCGACCGAGGGGTTGCGCCACAGGTCGGCACCCCTCGCGGTCCTTCCCGCCCCCCTCGTGGACCAGCGTTGCCTGCCCTTCAGACTGAGGGCTCGCGGCAGACACGGTGAGTGGGGTGTGTGCGGCTCCGACTTCGGGAGGGGGTTCTTGGAGAAGGCCCGGGGCATCAGGACCTGTCTACCTCAGACTCGGAGATGCTGAGGGGTTGCGATACAATCCAATGGGGCTTTGGTACCGGGGAGTTCATCTGATCAGTCTGTTGTTGAGTTGGTGCCGGCTGGATGGAGATTGGGTCCGGTGACAGTGGTACAGCCTCTGCATTGGGATGGTGAGGCATCGAGTCCTGTGTAGGACTTGGAGCTCGGTGCTGTCGGTTAGGGTGTGACTCTTTGCCCTTATCCGACATAAGGACCTTCTACTTTTTGCGCTTCTTTGCTGGAGAGTCCAATGAGGACTTTACGGTCAAGCCTGAACTTTTCGATGCTGACGCCCCGGTGTCGGGCAGGGTCAAAGTAGAGTGTCAAGCCGGGCACAGCCGCAGATCGGTCGATCAGTCTTGGTGGCCATTTTAGGTAGGGCCAAGGCAGATTCCAGGAGTACGGCTTGCAATCGAGCAGCTCTGTTTTTCCTGGTCTGCTTAGAAAATTTAGCACAGTGAGGGTGTGTGTTCATCCATTGGGCTTCACCTAGGCACAGCAAGCACAGGGAGTGGCCGTCGGTTGGAGCCAGCTTGCTCCCACAGCGGGAACACCGTTTGAAGAACCCCCACATAGACTGATGGGGTTGAAGGCTAGAAAGATGAAAGGAATACCGTATTTTTCGCTCCATAAGATGCACTTCCCCCCCAAAAAAAAGTGTGGGGGGGAAGTGTGTGCGTCTTATGGAGCGAATACTACAGACAATGTGAAGGGGGAGGGGGGAGAGAGGTGAGCTAATAACTGTCAAGGCGCCACAGCGCGCGCGAATGCGACGGCTTCTTTTCACGCGCACAACTCCCCCCCTTCCCATGCGCCCCTGTGAGCCCTGCCCCCTCCCCGTTGCAGTGCCTGGTCAACCCGATAGGGCGAGCTTTGCACTCCTTCATCACCGCCCTTTCCCCCACGCCCACAGGCCCTTCGTGAGAGGCGGCCAGGCTGCGCGAGTCAAGAGGCTAGTGGGCGGAGTTTCCGTGGGGGGAGGGAAGAGAAGGCGCTTGAATACTGGTGCAGCCGTTTACTTTCCGTCATGTGTGGTGTCCGTGCCTGCCGCTGGATGCTGCTTCCATTCTGGGGTGCGGATTGGGGAGAGTCAGCCAGGGCATGGCAGTTTGGCAGATTGTCAAAGACCCACGTGGGGCTTGCTCGAATGGTTTGTTCCTGGACCAAACTCTGCCACTAGTGCTCAACTGCCATACTTTCTGACAGGAAACACACCAGCGTTCTTCCATGCGGTCCTGTTTTCCTCCTCTAAAAACTAGGTGCGTCTTATGGAGCGAAAAATACGGTAAGTCTCTGTTTTTTTGTAGAGGAAAAAAAATGAAGCTAGGTAGAAGGGAGAAGTTCACTGACCTGAGCAAGGAGAAACACGTTCTGTTCGCATGGCAGTCAGAAGAGAACTGGCGGGATTTCTGCGCCCCGCCCTGGGCATGCACAGTGGAGTTCCTGGGCATGCACAGGGGAGGGGGCGTGAAAATCCTTTTCTGGAGCTTAAAAGTCACCACTCGGGGTCAGTGCAGGAGCCTGGAGTCCCAAGGGTGTGAAGCACAGAGACCATGAAGAAGACCTTACATGAAACTGTAAAATGTACCCCGGAGGTCACAGAAAGGCTTCTGCTAAGGCTCAGAATAGCATTCTATGAGATTTACATCTAGAAATGGCATTCTATGAGATTTACATCTAGAAATGGCATTCTATGAGATTTACATCTAGAAAGGGGATTATGAACAGCCACACTTTCCACATCCCTGAAGATGTCTAGCACCTCAGACACATTATAGTGTCTTCCTTCTGTTCCTTCTATTCCATGCTCTTCCATAATTAGGACCCCTCCCCCCAATTCTTAATTGCTCAACCTTTCACGAGTTTCACGATTTGACAATAAAGTGGTATCCAGGGCCACCTGCGATCTCCCACTGTGTGCAGCAAATGCATGAGACGGACCATCAGATGTAATGATGAGATTCCGCACACTGCAGTGCAGACACCAAATTCCAAAAACATCTGGGTCTAGCTGCTAGGCATCTTGGGGGGGAAGGTTCAGTTTTTCTGAGTAAAATGCTTGAACTCCGAAGATTAGAAATCTCTCTAGCCAACCCCTTTGGGTGCCTGGTGATATCTGTGGGTCTGCAACCAGGTCAGGAGATCTCCTGCTGTGGATCAGGCCCTTCAGCTCTTCGGGTGACTCCACAGAATAGGAACAGCGGTAAGGAGGACATAGCCCCCTCCAGGTACAGTACGGGAGGTGCAAGGAGCTCGAGGTTCCTTTGAGTCAGTTCCCAGCACCCCACACCTTACCAATGTTTCCTCTAAGCTGTGGAGTCTTGTGAGCAAAAATTCTGCTTTGTGAGCTACTGGCCTTAAAGTTGTGAGAGAACAATTTGGCTACTGCATAAAATCAGTTTGCTCTGGAGCCATCCTCCCTGAGCTGAGACAAAAATCTGTGAGCAGGAGGCGAAAAAACTGTGAGCTAACTCACACTAACTCAGCTTAGAGGGAACACTGCTTACCACCCCCTCCATCCTTTGGGTACTCAATACAGACTTCTTCCATCAGCATCAAAACTTCTGGACCCAGAATTATGGAATTTGGCTTGGATGCAGAATTCTTCAGGGTCCTGAAAATTCAGCAGTGATCATGAGCGAACCGAGATTTACCAAGTGGCAATTAACCAGGATCTGCAGGTGTTTGTAAGTTTGCAGGAGAATTTTACCACCCCACTCATTCGTCGGCTTTTTAAATGGGTGCAGATGCACGTAAGGAATACATTTTAAAGGGCTGTCTTGTCTCAGCTAGTTTGGTGTAGTGGTAAAGTGCACAAATTCTAATCTGGGAGAACCGGGTTTGATTCCTCACTCCTCCACTTGCACCTGGCTGGATGACCTTGGGCAAGCCATAGTTCTGTCAGAGCTGTCCTTGAAAGAGCAGTTTCTAGTCAGAGTTCTCTCAGCCCCACCTACCTCACAGGGTATCTGCTGTGGGGAGGGGAAGGGAGAGGAGTTTGTAAGCCCCGAGACTCCTTCAGGTAGTGAAGGGTGGGGTATAAATCCAATCTCTTCTCTTCTTCGTATCAGCCTAGACCAGCAATAAGGTCAGCAGCAGAGCCCTTCTCAGCAGTGAAGGTGGGTGGCCATATCAGACAGGACCTTCTATAGGATGGCACCTCATCTGTGGAATACCTTCCCACTACTATATGCCCAGTGCCTTCTCTGTTAAACTTCAGGCACCAGATTTGTTTTAAGTTTTAGCCATTTTCATTTAAACTGCTTTTAAAAATTTTATCAGTGCCCCCACAGTTGCTGACAAACATGCCATTTGCATTCTGCCATTATTAATTTACTATCATCATTGTCGTATCTATTAACTGTAAGCATTTTTTTTAGCCCACCCCCTGACCAGAACACAGTTTTTTTGGGGGGAGGAAATAAAAATGAGAGAGATTTAAAACATATTCAAAACCAAGATCAAAAAGTTGATCCTAGTTCATGGAAACAAAAAGCATCAGGGGGGGGGGGAATCTCTATTTTTGATTTTATTTGAATCTTACGTGGTACGCCAGAACAAAGGGAGGAATACTATCCCAGCCTCCTGCTCATGCGAGGGTCTATGCACCAATGGCACCTTAAGATCCAAGCCGTAAACATTAAGGAAGCCAGCCCATTTAAAAAGAAAACATGGCCCTTTGAGAAAACTAAAAAGAGATTCAGGCAGGATCCGTTAAAACAGACTCGAAACAGTTCTTGCCACCTCCCCAAGACCCTCGAAAGAAACATTCAATTAGAACATGGGGAAATAAGTGAGTTTACGGAAACTCAGCCAATCAGGTACTGGCTGGTTATTTGAACCAAGGCGGTGCTCACTGTTGGGATAAGTTTTAAATTTTGTTGTCTGAATATTGCTAATTGTATTGGGGGGGGTGGCACCATGGGATTTGGTCCCGGGTGGTTTTGCCCTTGCTCAATACATTGCAATGGTTATGTAAATGCATCCTAATAAAGAAATAATAAATTCTTCCGTGCACCCTTGGCTGGGACAGTACAGACATCCGTACTTACACAGGAGTTGCCTGCCTATCATGGGGTGAATGGCCACCTGTAGGTCAGGGGAATGGTTATTTTCGAGGGGTTAAATTGGATGGCAGATGGCATGACAGCTCCAGCTCAAATGGTTTCATGTGGCATGAGACGCTTGGAGACAGGGGTGGACTGGCCACGTAACTTCCTGGGAAACTTCCCAGCATGCCTCTCCCCGGAGGGCCACTGGTGTCACCAGGGGGCAAGCAGAGCCAAGTGCCAGTACTAGTGCCAGTTCTGGAGGGACCCCTTGAGTCAAATCCCTTCCATGGCAATGATGGTTGACGTCGGCTCACCAAAGGCTTCCTCCCGTATTGCTGCCAAATTGCAGGAAGAGACCGTGGGTGAGCCGACACCCATCACTGGCACTGCCTGCAGGATCTTAATGGAGTGGCCCCCGCAATGTCACCTGGAGGCGCAGCTCAGCTTGGTTTGCTCCCCCTGGGGCTGTTTCAACTTCCCAGTCTGCCCCTGGCTTGGGAAGCAAAGCTGCTATGGGATAACAGAGGAGGCCAAACCGGCAAGGGGTTAGCCCCTCCAAAAAGTGAGGAAAGGAATGGGGACGCTGCAAAATAAAGAGCAGGATGAAGTCATGGTAGCCCAAACAAAAGAAAAAATGGGGGAAGGAGTGGTCAGTGTTGTCGATGCAGGCGGCAAGCAGTCTGATCCGCAGGCGTTCGGCTAGTGCGGGGCGGGATGGAGCGGGGGAGGGAAGGATTACCCTGGTGTCCTCGAACTCTTTGAGAAGCTTTGCAGCCTGTGTCTTCTCAAACAGGAGGCTCTGCTCGAGCTCCCGTATTCGGGCATGCTCCAGCTGGGTCTGAGTCTGGTCACGTGCCGGGAAGAGGAACCAACCAATGTAAGGAAGAAAAGGGGGGGGAGATTGGGGGGGAGAGAGCAGAAGACAAGGGGATAAAAAAGAGGATGATAGAAGGCCACAACATTATCTTCAGCATACAAGACAAAAAAGAAAGGCAGTTCACACAACACGAAGGGGGGGGGAGAGAGAATAAGGCCCGAAGAGGCAAGGAAAAGCCAGTCAAATAGGATGCATCCCTTTGAAATAGAAAACTCCTCGAGCGAACGGATACCTGTCGGTTCTCACCTTTGCAGAACGGAAGCATGCACGCCCCTGAAGCAAGATATGTACTTCTAAAATTATTCCACTCAAGCCAGTCCCATGGATCAGGGGTCCCAACCTTTTTGAGCTTGTGGGCACCTTTGGAATTCTGACACAGGGGGGGGGGTAGCGCAGCCAATAAATGGCTACCAGAGGGAGGTAGAGCCACACACACATACGCACAGAAGACGACCAAGTTCAGGGGACAAGAGGAGTACTATTTTTTAAAGTACACTGTGAGAGAGGAGTGAGAAAGAGCAGAACTGGCACGGTGCGTGGCCGCTGCCCAGGGGTCATTTTGTAGAAAAAGAGGTAGAGGAGCTCATTAGCATACCTATTAGCATAATCAGGGCTGTTTTTGTAGCAGGAACTCCCTTGCATATTAGGCGACACACCCCTAATGTAGCCAATCTTCCGAGATCTTACAGTAGCCCCTGTAAGAAGAGCTCTGTAAGCTCTTGGAGGATTGGCTACATTGGGGGGGGGTGTCGCCTAATATTCAAAGGAGTTCCTGCTACAAAAAGAGCTCTGGCTAGCTCATTAGCAAAGTGTGTCAGGACTCAGAAGGGGAAGCAAAAAAGGGGGGAAGGCATCTTCAAAAGCCTCCCCTTCCCTTCCCCAGCCGGCCTGCCAAGGTGGGGGGGGGAAGCGAAGAGAGAAGGGGTTTAAAGTTTAAACCCCTTCTCTCTGGAGTCGCGCTGCAGTGGTGGCACGATCTTTCCACTGTATTCTATGGGGCCATAGGATACAATAGGAGATTGTGCTGCTGCTGCAGCGCAACTCTAGAGAGAAGGGGTTTAAACTTTAAACCCCTTCTCTTTTCGCTTCCTCCACTAGCCCGCTGGGAGCTGGGGGCAGGGCTTGCCGCCACTGCCATTTGTGGCTGCTCCTGGACTGCCGGAGCGCTGCTCCGGCTCGCTCCGGCCCCAATAACCCCTGCCACTGCCAACAAAATGACATCATTTCACCCCGCAAAGACAAATCACTCTCCAGTGGCCAATCAGAAGCCCTACTGGGGAAAAGGCCCATTTGGCCCCACTCACTTTCTAAAAACACTTGGTGGGAGCCAGGAAAAGTGTCGGCTGGCACCTTTCTGCCCATGGGCACCATGTCGGGGACCCCCACCTTACATGTAGTAATGTCCCTTCTGTTAGCTCCCACTGGTTAATCCACTGCTTATCGCTAAAAAGCTGATCGACACGAGCCGGAGCCACACAGATCAGAGCTAGATGCTATCACCTGACGCAGCACCTCGGCCCATTTCCCCGATAACAGCGGATAATGCAAAAAGTGTGACCTGACATGGCAATTGAGTGGAGCGGGGCCTGAAACATTCACAGCACAATGATGCATTCCTTTTCTATTGCTGAATGTAACCAAGGAGAGGCAGAGCTGCCCACCATGGCAGAGACCAAGGAAGAGCAACTGAATGCCTCTTCGAAGGTGCTGCTGCCCTTTGCCAGCTTGCGCTAAAAAATAATTTAGCTTTTTAAAAAAGCACTGCAGCACCATGTTCCTCATTGGGTTCGAAGGAGGTGACCAGACCGGCACTGAACTTGTGAATCACAATTCGGAATTATAAGGGCACCGTGAAAAATATACATATCATGTCGGCTTCCGTGAGCTTCAGTTAGGTGACTGATGCGAGAAGAAGCCGCAGTTGACGGTCTGTATTCAACTCTCATTTCCCCAGCAAAAAGGGCTGCTTTGTAGATCACGTGTTAGACTGAAATCTGAGAGTGGAGATGCAATGCCAAGCAAAGCTGCACCCTTCTGTGCCTGACCAGGAAGTGGTTACCAGTTGCAATACTCTTTTCTAGACTGTGGTGCAGCCCCTCTACAGATGGCACGAATGTAACAGAGATGACCCAAAACTGCCCATGCTTCAACAGGGACAACTGATGTGCATCTTTGACCTCGGTATCCCAGAGGAGTCAGCCAATTCTCAGACCCTGGAGCCCCAAGAAAACCCAGGACTTAAGGAACTGGGGCCATCGCTCTGAGATCAGGAGCAAGACTTGGGAAAGGGTCTCCCATATTAATCTTTTTTTGAGACAAACACAAACAGTTGCGAAGCAAGCCAGCTTGCCTAACTGCCCCTTCTTGGACTCATCATTTGGGAAGAACGTCTGAAATAGCACAGTGATTCTTCACCATTGCAACATAAGAAAGCTCACACCTGCAGCTCCGTCAGTACAACTAAGTTAAAAAATCTCAGCACTGACAAAGACACAGATGAACTCACAGCTTTCTTTGGCCTTCAGGCTGTTAGAAGTGGAGGACTTTGCGTTGTCTCCTGTCTCGGACTTGAGAGATGGCACCAAAGAGTTTAGACAGATAGAGGTCAGGACACATAGAGCATCCTTTCCTTCCTGCTATCTGATCCTTTCCTTTGAAGTAGGATGCTGCTCTTAAGGGCAATTTCCTCTGTTTCTGCTCTCTCACACTTCTCTCTTGCGTGCACACAAAAGAAGGTGCATGGTCTTCAAGAGGGAATTAGATAAGCATATGGAGCAGAGGTCCATCAGTGGCTATTAGTCACAAGGTCTAGATAGGAACTCTCTGTCTGGGGCAAGTGATGCTCTGTATTCTTGGTGCTTGGAGGGGGTAACAGTGGGAGGGCTTCTGGTGTCCTGGCCCCACTGGTGGACCTCCTGATGGCACCTGGTATTTTTGGCCACTGTGTGACAGAGTGTTGGACTGGATGGGCCATTGGCCTCATCCAACATTGGCTTCTCTTATGTTTTTATTTCTTCATCTTGCACCATGGAGGCTGGACATGTGTCCAGCAACCAACAACATCTAATTAGTTAGAGTAGGTAATCGATGTCTATCTCTTACCTGCCCTCTCCAGCATGTATTTCCTTTAATAAAACTTGCTTATTAGTTTTAGAACTGACTGTTGACTCCATGGACCTTTGTAAGTCTGTTGCCACACCCAGCCCCAGCTCTGCTGCGTTAGAGCCTTGAGCACTCTGCTACTTCTCGTGGTTCCCTGGCAGTACCAAGTCCAGAGAATCCAACACAAGCAGCCATTAAAATTGACCTCTGTCCCACCATCTCCCAAATGAGATCCTGATACTTGGGAATGGCCCATAAGCTCAGAGGCTGACCTCCGGCTTTGCATGAAGAAGGTTCTCTCCCTTGCATCCCTAGTAAAGGATCTCAGGTAGTCTGTGATGGGAAAGACCTTTCTCTGCCCAAGACCTTGGAAAGCCACTGCCTATCATAGAATCACAGAGTTGGAAGGGGCCATACAGGCCACCTAGTGAGTCCAACCCCCTGCTCAATGCAGGATCAGCCTAGAGCATCCCTGACAAGTGTTTGTCCAGCAGCTGCTTAAAGACTGCCAGTGAGGGGGATCTCACCACCTCCCGAGGCAGCTGATCCCACTGTGGCACAACTCTGACTGTAAAAAAGGTTTTCCCTAAGATCCAGCCGGTACCTTCCTGCCCTTAATTTAAACCCATGATTGTGAGTCCTCTCCTCTGCTGCCCACAGGAACAGCATAGGCAGTATTGAGCTCATTAAGCCAGTGATCTGACTCCTACATGCAATGCTCCCTCTAAGCTGTGGAGCCTTGTGAGCAAAAATTCTACTTTGTGAGCTCCTGGCATTAAAGTTGTGAGCGAGCGATTTTGGCTACTGCATAAATTAATTTGCGCTGGAGCAATGTTCCCTCTAAGCTCTGGAGTCTTGTGAGCAAAAATTCTGTTTTGTGAGCTACTGGCATTAAAGCTGTGAGCAAGCAATTTGGCTACTGCATAAATCAGTTTGCTCTGGAGCCCTCCTTCCTGAGCTAAGACAAAAATGCGTGAGCTGGAGGCTAAAAAACTGTGAGCCAGCTCACACCAACTCACCTTAGAGGGAACACTGCTCTGGAGCCCCTCCTTCCTGAGCTAAGGCAAAAATGTGTGAGCTGGCGGCTAAAAAACTGTGAGCGAGCTCCCACTAACTCAGCTTAGAGGGAACTCCTCTAGGGCAACTCCTTCATGGTTGCTATAGTACAGCCCAGGGGTCCCCAGTTTCTTTGAGCCTGTGGGCACCTTCCGAATGCTGACATAAGGTGGTGGATGCAGCCACAAAATGGCCGCCCAAGGGGGAGAAAGAAACCGCAAAATGTTAGGGAGCCAGGCTAGGCATTCCTCTCAGACGAGCTCTTCAACATTTCAGGCAGAATCTCAGTGGAAACGGGATGCCTTTTTAAACGAAAATCTGGCTTTAAAATATTCTTGTGCAGACACACGGCTCCCCTTCGGTCACCCAACCAATGCCCTCGTGCTGTGGTGGCAGCTGCTGCCAAAGCAATGCTGTTGTTGTTCTAAAAAAATCTGCACAGCAACCAGATGTCCACTGGCCAATCAGAAGCTCTGCCAGGCAAAAGCCCCATCTGGCCTTGCTCACTCTCTAAAACAACTTGGCGGGCACCAGGAAAGGTATTGGCAGGCACCATTTTGGGGACCCCTAGCAGAGTCAATTGCTTCCCCTTACAATGGAAGACGCTTCAGGAACAGATTTACTCAGTTACTATCTTTGAAAAGCCGCTCTCTGTTTTTTGGAGATCCACCAGTTCTGGCTGCAGCACTCTTCGGCCATCGACTGAAAGCCAGAGAGTTAGGAATGCATTTGCAAGGGTGCATCTGCATACAACTGACCCCCTCCCCCCATATATACAACACAGCCCATGATGCTCTGCTCCTTAATCCACACTGGCTTCCCTACTAGGGTTGCCATGTGGTCACATGTGCCGGAGCGGGGGACTCCCGGCCGGCAACTTGAGAGCATGCACGCCAAGCGCGCACCGCACGCACGTCACCCAGAAGTGACGTGACGACGCTGGGCACGCTGGGGGTGGGGCCACAACCATCTGAGGGAAAACCATAGAGTTTTCCCTCGGATGACCGTGGCCCTGCCCCCAGCGTGCCCGGCGTTGTCACATCACTTCCGGGTGACGTGCACGTCGGGGTGGGGTTCCCCCCGGGGCCCGATCTGCCGGCGGCGGGGAACGGGCCTCTGGGGCGGGGGTTTCCCCGCCCCCCGGGGGGACTTGGCAAGCCTATTCCCTACCCACATGTGCTGGGAGTGTCTCAAAACAGACCAGGCAAGGCTATGATGTCTTTAGGACAAGACGCATGGGGAATGGGGGAGGGGAGTGGCTTTATATGTACAAAAGCAGGAAGTGACCCCCCCCATCCTTATTTCCCACACACCCCATGTCACATTCTAAAGCACCACTCTAAGAATTCTTGGGAGCAATTCCGCAATCGCAGACTGTGTTTGACCCCCATTTCTCCAAAAAGCACCATGTGCAGTAGACGTCGGGCACAAAAACAGGGGTTAGATCAAGACAGGTAGCCATGTCAGTCTGTCTGTAGCAGTAGAAAAGAGTAAGAGTCCAGTAGGACCTTAAAGACTAACAAAACATGTGGTAGGGTGTGATCTTTTGTGAGTCACTGCTCACTTCTTCAGATATCAGACTCATGAAAGCTGTAAAAGGTAAGAAGGATTCCCTTAAGCGGAAGAAAGCTAGTCTCAGTGAGGTCGATAAAAGGGAACACAGGCTGTGGCAAATAAAATGCAAGTCTGTGATCAGGCAGACAAAAAGGGAATATGAAGAGCATACAGCAAAAAGCATAAAGACCAACAATAAAACTTTCTTCAAATACATTAGAAGTAGGAAACCAGCCAGGGAGGCAGTGGGGCCCTTGGATGAGTAAGGGGTAAAAGAAGTACTGAAGGATGATAGGGAAATGGCTGGGAAACTGAATGCATTTTTTGCCTCTGTCTTCACTGTGGAAGTTGAGAACTGCTTGCCCACTCCAGAACCACTGATTTTGGGAGGGGTGTTGAAAGACCTGAGTCAGATTGAGGTGACAAGAGAAGAGGTCCTATGACTGATAGACAACTTAAAAACTGATAAATCACCAGGCCCGGATGGCATTCATCCAAGAGTTCTGAATGAACTCAAATGTGAACTTAAGGATCTCCTGACAGAAATATGTAATCTTTCATTAAAATCTGCCTCCATTCCTGAGGACTGGAAGGTAGCTAATGTCACTCCCATCTTTAAAAAGGGTTCCAGGGGAAATTCGGGAAATTACAGGCCAGTCAGTCTGACATCAACACTGGGTAAGTTTGTGGAAACTGTTATTAAGGAAAGAATTAGTAGGCACATTGATGAACAAAACCTATTGAGGAAGACTCAGCAGGGGTTCTGTAAGGGAAGATCTTGTCTCATTAACCTGTTAGTGTTCTTTGAGGGAGTGAACAAACATGTGGACAAGGGGGACCCAATAGATGTTGTTTACCTTGACTTCCAGAAAGCTTTTGATAAAGTTCCTCACCAAAGGCTCTTAAGTAAGCTCAATAGTCACGGGATAAAAGGACAAATCCTTTTGTGGATCAAAAACTGGCTAATTAATAGGAAACAGAGAGTGAGTATAAATAGGCAATTTTCTCAGTGGAGGGTGGTAAGCAGTGGTACCACAGGGATCAGTACTTGGTCCACTGCTTTTTAACTTGTTTATTAATGATTTGGAGTTGGGAGTAAGCAGTGAAGTGGCTAAATTTGCAGATGACACGAAATTGTTCAGAGTGGTGAGAACCGGGGAGGATTGTGAGGCGCTCCAAAGGGATCTGTTGAGGATGGGTGAGTGGGCGTCAACATGGCAAATGGGGTTCAATGTGGCCAAGTGCGAAGTGATGCACATTGGAGGCAAAAATCCTAACTATAATACACGTTGATGGGGTCCGAACTGGCAGAGACTGACCAAGAGAGAAATCTTGGTGTCGTATCAGACAACTCACTGAAAATGTCTAGACAGTGTGCGAATGCAGTAAAAAAGGCCAACGCTATGCTTGAGATTATTAGGAAGGGAATTGAAAACAAATCAGCCAGTATCATAATGCCCCTGTATAAATTGATGGTGTGACCTCAGTAGTGTACAGTTCTGGTCACCACACCTCAAAAAGGATATTATAGCATTGGGAAAAGTGCAGAAAAGGGCAACTCGAATGATAAAAGGGTTGGAACACTTTCCCTATGAAGAAAGGTTAAAACGCTTGGGGCTCTTTAGCTTGGAGAAACGACGGCTGAGGGGTGACATGATCGAGGTTTATAAGATTATGCATGGGATAGAGCAGGTAGAGAAAGAAGTACTTTTCTCCCTTTCTCACAATACAAGAACCCGTGGGCACTACATGAAATTGCTGAGCGGTCAGGTTAGAACAGATAAAAAGAAGTACTTCTTCACCCAAAGAGTGATTAACACATGGAATTCACTGCCACAGGAGGTGGCGGTGGCTTCAAGCATGGATGGCTTCAAGAGGGAATTAGATAAGCATATGGAGCTGAGGTCCATCAGTGGCTATTAGCCACAAGGTATAGATAGGAACTCTCAATCTGGGGCAAGTGATGCTCTGTATTCTTGGTGCTGGGAGGGAGGGGGAAACAGTGGGAGGGCTTCTAGTGTCCTGACCCCACTGGTGGACCTTCTGATGGCACCTGATGTTTTTGGCCACTGTGCGACAGAGTGTTGGACTGGATGGGCCATTGGCCTGATCCAACATTGGCTTCTCTTATGTTCTTAAAGCTCATCCCCTTTCACAAATCTTTAAGGCACTGCTGGACTCTTTCTCTTTTCTATAAAAACAGGGGAAACTTAAGTCAATCGTATGTTGGAAGTACCTTCCCTACAAGGAATGTCTTAAGTAGCCACAGCTCTGCACCTTGAGGCATCGATCGATGAAGGAAGTTCACCAAAGCCAGCTACTTATTGAGTGCACGACCAGGTGGGCATAGAGAGGGTACTCCCTTGGTGATGGGCAGCAGTCAACTGAACCCTAGCTGCTGTGTGGCACGGAGGGGAGAGTCGTGGCGGGGCTCAGCACCTCTCGGTGTAATTCTGTGCAGAAAATAAATGCGGTGCCAAAAAAAAATGTTGGTCTGGCCATTCTCATTTGCTTTAAGAGCTCCCCCCCCCAAGAACCACAGCAAAGAGGAGGGGGGAACCAAGCTTAGGGGGCAGGAGCGAGATTGATAAAAATTATGCATGAGGTAGAGAAAACGGATGAGAACTTTTCGCTCTCTTTCTTTAGGAACCACAAAACAATTGCGGGTGGGGAAGGGGGACATGATCCAACAGTTGCAGAGGTCTGTACCTTTGCTCTGCAAGTCAACTGCCTTTCCGAGGAAACAAATAACAACTTTCAAAGATTTTTTTTTAAAAAAATCAAAACTAAAGAGTGATCCATTATGGACCACAGCAATTCAGGGACGCCTTCCAGAGCCCAACTTAGTTTTCCCTTTTAAATACCATTCTGAAAGAGCACACACACCTACATTTCAACTAACCAATGAACCAACCAACCAACCCCATCTGCTATAAACAAAGCTGGACAAGAAGACAGCCAGAGGGAATCACCAAACGCCATAACTAACTCAGGATATGCATTTTCAAAAATGGACATGCGGCAGATTACCTCCAAGTCTCCCTTTGTAATAGACTCTTCCTCCACACGAAACTGTAGGTCTTCCACCTTCCTGTGGTGGGAAGGGGGAAAGGGGTGGGGGAAGAGAAAGAACAGGAAAGGTTAAACCAGAGACTTAATTTATTTATTTATTTGTTTGTTTGTTTGTTTGTTTTATTCAATTTATACCCCGCCTTCCCCGCTACGCGGGCTCAGGGCGGCTTACAGGAGGCATAAGCCAATATAAAACATATTTAAAACCATTTAAAATCACTATAATACAATAACATTAATTAACAAAGGTGCTCTAGATGTTTTAACATGGTGTTACAAGATGGCGTATCTCACCTGCTCTGTTGCAACTGCTCTCCCTACTCAGCATCATCTGCTCCGGGAAACACTGATGTTCCCTCTTCCATGGCCAGGTTAAGATGGAACACTAGTGATGGTAGTGGCGGCTCCTAATCATACGCCTGGTGGAAGAGCTCTGTCTTACAGGCCCTGCGGAACTGTACAAGGTCCCACAGGGCCACCACCTGTGACAGGGCCCGGATCTCCTCCGGGAGCTCATTCCACCAGGTAGGAGCCGCCCCCGAGAAAGCCCTGGCCCTGGTAGTGGCCAGCCTGGCCTCTTTGGGACCTGGCATTGCCAGGAGATGTTGCATCCCAGACCGTAGTGCTCGTGGGGGAACATATGTGGAAAGGCGGTCCCTTAGGTAAGCTGGACCCAGACCATATAGGGCTTTAAAGGTAAGAACCAGCACTTTGAAGCGAATCTGGTACGCTATTGGCAGCCAGTGCAGCGCTTTCAGCGCAGGCTGGATGTGGTCCCTACTACTACAGAAAGCGGATCAAAAGGAGAACCAAGTCTGAGCCCAGTAGCCCCTTTAAGACCAACAAAGCTTTATTCTGGATATAAGCTTTTGTGTGCACACAGACTTCTTCAATCCAAAAGCGAACCCATCTGAAGAAGTGTGCCAGCACACGAAAGCTTATACCCTGAATAAATCTTTGTTGGTCTTAAAGGTGCCACCGGACTCCAACTTTGTTCTGATGCTTCAAACCAACACGGCTACCCCCTGAATCCAGCTTCAAAGGAATGTGGGAGGTCACACAATAGCGAGAGGCGATGAGTTCCAAAGATACGCCAAAGAAACATAAGAGCTCTGCTGGTTCAGACCTGAGGTATTACAGTGGTTAGAGTGTCATGCTAGGATCACAGGGCTCTTTTTGTAGAAAAAGCCCAGCAGGAACTCATTAGCATAATAGGCCACACCCAACAGCAAAACTCATTAGCCTATTAGGCCACACCCTGACTGCACCACTCATTAGCCCATTAGGCCACACCCCCATGTTACCAGAAGTGTGCTCATCCAGCCACACCCACCTTTCCCTTCTTATTCTGTTTACTTTGTTTGTTGTCAAAACCCAGGGCCTTTTTTTGTAGCAGGAACTCCTTTGCCTGTTAGGCCACACACCCCTAATGTAGCCAATCCTAATGAGTTTCTGCTATTGGGTGTGGCCTATTATGCTAATGAGTTCCTGCTGGGCGTGGCCAACTCAGGAGCCAGCCGGAACTCCGTTCCTGTGCGTTCCTGCCCAAAAATAGCCCTGGACCTGGGTTCAGATTCCAATTCTGCCACGGAAACTTGCTGGTGAAATCAGACGTTTTGTCCTTCTCTGAACATTGCACAGTGTGAAAACATCACTTATCGCAACCTGATTATCAGTGCTGCTGAAAACAGCTTGGACTGAAACGTGTCTGCTGTGATTCATTACTCTTTGGAAACGGCTGCAAGCCGATCTACAAATGCTCGTGCTCAGCGCTTGATTGAACTGATCTTGTGATTTCTCTATTTATACACCAACAGTCATCTTCTAACACAGATCTCACCACGGTCGCTCACGTGCTACCTAGTGAGGGTTGGATAAGAGGCTGCGTGGGCTTTATTCTTCTTCAGAGCTCAAGAGGAACCGTGCCTACTTAATTCCAGCACTAGGTTTTGGCCCTTGCGCAATCGTCAGCATTCTAAGGAAACCGGGGGCCTGGCTGGTTATTTCCAGGGGTCATTTCCTGCAGGAGCGCACAGGAGCGGAGCTCCGGCAGTAAAGAGCCCAGGGGGCGGGCACATGCAACAAGCCCCACCCCCTGTTCCCAGCAGCCCTCAGTCAGAGCAAGAAGCAGCCAGGTAAGCTGCAGAGCCCCCCCCCCAGCCCCCTGGTCCAAAATAGTCCAGTGGCACCTTTAAGACCAAGTTTTATTCAGGTACAAGCTCTCCCTCCTCTGTGAGGACAGATCTGCATGTCCCTCCCCCCCATAGCTAGGAATCCAAAACAGTCCAGTGGAGCCTGAGCGGTGGGTGTTGCCTTCTGACACACTTCCGGTGATATCAGGGGGTGTAGCATATGCAAATAAGTTATGCTAATGAGTTATGCTAATGAGCTCCTGCACCTCTTTTTCTACGAAATGACCCCTGGTTATTTCAATCCACGACGGTTCATCTCTGCAGCCTTCCGAGGCTATAACCAGTTCTCCTCGCTCCTTATATGGTCCTCTTACAGCCAGCTGCATGCCTTGGAAGCTCCTGGGCAAGACGGCCTCTGGTGGCTCCCAAGAAGGACACCATCCCTGCTGTGTATGCAGACACAACCAATGCTCCTGCTAAGCTGTAGAGTCTTGTGAGTAAAAAATTCTACTTTGTGAGCTACTGGCATCAAAGTTGTGAGCCAGCGATTTGGCTGCTGCACAAGTTAGTTTGCCGTGGAGCCATCCCTTCCTGAGCTAAGCCAAAAATGTGTGAGCCGGAGGCTAAAAAACTGTGAGCTGGCTCACACTAACTCATCTTAGAGGGAAGACTGGACACAACCCTTATGGGAGAGGAAGCAGAGCACTGCTTTTAAGTCCCAGCCGCAGCAAGGCTAGAAGAAAAGAATGACACCCCCAGGAGTGTCTCCCAGCAGAAACTGGGAGATCGCCCACAGAGGCCACTGTGGTGTCAGACAGGACCTCTGGGGGCAAGTCCCACTCCTGGTGGGCATCTCTGGTAGGCGGTGGGCTCTCATCTGGGCAAGGGTCTTGCTCACCTTGACAGTCTTCTATACCGGCTCTTCCCCTCCCCTCATTCCGCCAGGTTGCTCCTTCTCACAAGTCCAAAGTCTCATTTCCCAGGACTTTTGGATGCTGGCTTCTCAGGCCAGTGCCTGTCAGTTTCCTTGCCCCTTCCAGCTTCCCTAGGCCTGACTGCCTTCTCTCTCTCCATGATCACAGCACCTCAGCCAATAGACATATATACTGTTCAACCAGCCCTGCCCTCTCTGACATCAGAGCAGCTCATCCAATCACCAGGGGACCCTTAACGGCTGCCACAGCCGATGCTCCCCAAGCAGGTTGGGGACTTTTGACATGGGCTCTACTGTGAAGTATCTGTCAAGTTTAACAGCCCCACATCATCGCAGAGTATACATGCTTGCATTGAATGTTCTGCCATCAGAGGTGCTTTTAGGGAGGTACCGCCAGATACCATATGCAGACAGACTTTGCCCTTGCTGTCTAAAAGATATAGAATCCACTACACACACCACACTTCATTGCCCCCTCTATAGGGATATCCGATCTCGTTTTATCACTCCATTTCCAGCGGGTAAGAGCTGGCACTCTGATGACTCAACGGTTCACTTTCTTCTGTTTGATTCTAATTGCGAAATAATGGAGGCTGTTGCAAAGATATTTATATTATGCCATCAGAAGACGAGGCTTGAATAGCCAGGTGTAAGTGACGGAGGCATCTTAGTATTTTCCCGTATTCCCGTGATGTTTTGTGCTTTCGTGCCAATAAAAGGTTTTGTGTGTGTGTGGCTGCCAGAGCCAACCAAACCTTCAGTGAGCCATAAGACATGAGCTTCTCGGAGACCCTCCCAACATCCTCTGGGGCAGATACCTTTTCTCCTCCTCCAACTGGTTCAGCAACTCAACTTTCTCCTTCTGTGCGCCATCCAGCAGGGTCCGTGCTCGCTGCAGGTTCCCCTCTGCTTCGGCAGTGTACTAGGAAAAGGACAGGGGGGAGAGTGGGAAATCAAAACACAGAGAGAGAAAGAGCCGGCAGGACGTCAGACTAGGATCTGGGAGACCCACAGGAAGATCTCCACGCTGCCATGGAAGCTCGCTCGGTGACCTCGGGTCGGGTCACTCACACACTTCCAGCCTAGCCTTCCTCACGGCGTTGTCGAGAGGACGAAACAGAGGACGGGAATACCAAGTGCAACGCCCTGAATACCTTGGAGGATGGATAAACAAACGACGAGGCTACGCAGATGCATGTGGGGATCTGAAATGCTTGTGAGGAGCAGGAAGAATGTCTCGGGTTCAGTCTCTAGTTAAAAGGTCTCAGGTATCAGACTGCTGGGAGAGACTTCTCTCTGACTGACAACACCATCCAAACAGAGTTACACCCTTTCAAGCCCATTGACTCCAATGGATTTAGCAGGGGGGAAGAGAAGGAGGAGGAGGAGGAGAAGGAGATAAAGAAGAGGAGGAGGAGGAGGAGGAGGAAGAGGAGGAGGAGATTGGATTTATACCCCACCCTTCACTACCCGAATGAGTCTCAGAGCGGCTTACAAACTCCTTTCCCTTCCCCTCCCCACAACAGACACCCTGTGAGCTAGGTGGGGCTGAGAGAGCTCTGACAGAAACGGCTCTTTTTCAAGAACAGCTCTTATCAGGACTACGGCTTGCCCAAGGTCATTCAGCAGGTGCAAGTGGAGGAGTGGGGAATCAACCCCGGTTCTCCCAGATTAGAGTCCGCGCTCCTAACCACTACACCAAACTGGCTCTCTCCTGGAAGAGGAAGAGGAGAGGAGATTGGATTTATACCCTGCCCTTCACTACCCGAAGGAGTCTCAGAGTGGCTTACAAACTCCTTTCCCTTCCCTTCCCTTCCCCTCCCAACAGGCACCCTGTGAGGCAGGGGGGGCTGAGAGAGCTCTGACAGAAACGGCTCTTTTTCAAGAACAGCTCTTATCAGAACTACGGCTTGCCCAAGGTCATCCAGCCAGGTGCAAGTGAAGGAGGGGGGAATCAAACCCGGTTCTCCCACATTAGAGTCTGTGCACTTAACTGCTACAACAAACTGGCTCTCTACTTTGGATGGCCCCGATAGATCCTGGAGAGCCAGCATGGCGTAGGGGTTAAAGCGCCGGACTAGGATTTGAGTCAACCCACTTGTGCCACGGAAGATCACTGGGTGACCGTGGGCCAGTCCCACACTCTCAGCTTGACCTACCTTACAGGGTTGTTGTGAGGATAAAAAAGAGGAGAGGAGAACCGTGTAAGCCGCTTTGGGTCCCTCACTGGGGAGAAAGGCGGGATATAAATAAAGTAAATAAATAAGTAAAATGGAGAGAGCTGCCACCCATCAGAACAGGAAACCAGTTCCCCTTTTTCTTGCTGGAGGGAAGATGTGCCTATCACTGGAAAAGTGGATCTCTTTTTTTCAATATAACCACTGAGACTAGATCCTGAAATAACTTTGCTAATGAAATATATATGTTTGCTATGCTTGGCTTCCGTGGCTGTCTCGCTGCAATGTCTGTTGGCCAGAGAAATAAAGCTAGAGCGACTCAGCGTCATGCCCCCGGACTCGTGGGCACCCCTTGCCACGGGTGTCGTACCTGCTCGTGCTGGGCTTTCAGGATGGCCATCTCCTTCTCCACCTCGCAGATGCGGCTGGTCGCCTTGGCCACCTCGGCACGCTCCAGGTCCCGCTCTGCCAGCAGCTGCTCGATGTGCTGCTGTTTCTCCTTCAGAGCCTCTTGCAGTGCTGTCGTGCCGGAGATCTTCCGGGCGTAGCGAGAAGAGGTCTCTGTCAGCTGGAGGGGGAAAGGCAGGGCTTGAAACACTGGCTTCGCTGGCACGACCCTTTCCCTCGGCCTTCAGCAAACTCAACGCCCAAACATCCTACACGGGGATGCCACACACCCCCTCTCCCTTTTCTTCAGACTCTGTGAGAATGGTTCCTGGTTTAAGGGGTCAAAGGGAACCCTAGACAAAAAGCCCTTCCAGAGGAGACAAGAGAGAAAGCCTAGAGTGTATCATTAGTTAAGTTGAGCCCAGGGGTCATTTCCTGCAGGAGCGCACAGGAGCGGAGCTCCGGCAGTAAAGAGCCCAGGGGGCGGGCACATACAACAAGCCCCACCCCCTGCTCCCAGCAGCCCTCAGTCAGAGCAAGAAGCAGCCAGGTAAGCTGCAGAGCCCCCCCCCCCGGCCCCCTGCTCCAAAACAGTCCAGTGGCACCTTTAAGACCAAGTTTTATTCAGGTACAAGCTTTCCCTCCTCTGCGAGGACAGATGTGGACGTTCCCCCCCCCAATAGCTAGCAATCCAGAACAGTCCAGTGGAGCCTGAGCGGTGGGTGTTGCCTTCTGACACACTTCCGGTGATGTCAGGGGGTGGGGCATATGCAAATAAGCTATGCTAATGAGCTCCTGCTCCTCTTTTTCTACAAAATGACCCCCGGTTGAGCCTGTCTATAAAGTTGTGTTCTACTTTCTGTTACTGGTGTTGGAGTGAGCGACCCAGGATGCCTGGACTTTGGGGGGCGCTACATCACTCTAAGGGTGTATAGGTGTTGTCTCCTTGAAGGGGATACGTCCCTTTGTCTTAACCTGGGAGCTGCCCTCTGACCCCCTCCTCCCTCCCTCACTTTGTCCTCTCACTTTCTCACATGGCCTTCCATGGAGAAACGTGTCTCTGCAGGTCTCTCCCGTTGATACAGTGCCCTCATACTCCCCATACACTTGATGCCAGACAAGCTGGCCCTTTGTGAAAGGGAAAGGACTCTTTAGACTAGGCTTCTCTCTCTCTCCTTTCGACCGCAGCCCTGAATGTGAACTGGGTCTACTTGATTAAATGTACGTTTACCTTTTTTGCAATATACTTTGGAGATTTACTTAACTGCACTCAGCATCACGCTTCTGCGACTGAGCAAAACTCTGCCATGTTAACCAACGATCCCAATAGCTGGCAAGTGTCGGAGTCTCTCAACCCCGAGTGTCTAATTGCCCAGCTAACAACACATAAACCTACCTTTTCTACACAGCTCATTCCCTTAGCCCTCCCTCCCAACTGCTACCAGGTTTGAATGAATGAATGTTGATTTGCGATCAAAGACCATTTTTCATAAGAAGACAATATTATGCAGCCAAAGAGATTCATTCCAACACAGAAAATAGGTTTAGTCATAAAAACCTTAACATATTTATGAACTATAATAATCCAGAAAAAAAATCCTTAAAATGTATCTAAAATATCTAATATATGTAAAATGATTACCAGTTCTACAAATAAAAACTATACATAACCATACTTCTTATTGTGAAATTTTATCAAGTAGAAGCAGAATGTGGCTATTTGTCTGGAGATAATTGGCTTTTCATTAACTAAAAGTCTCTCCAGGCAGGTCTCGTCTGCATCTACTGATGGTCTGTCTAAAAATGGGGATATAAACTTATCCCTATGAACTTGATGGAACAGGCACCTAAAGAACATATGAACCATCGATTCCTCTTCTTCAATAGAACATCTATCTTCATATGAGATCTTCCTATATTTCGCATCTAGAACCCTTGAGGGGATAACTGCACAACAATGAGCCAAAGTAAAAGCTTTTCTATGAGATGGCACATCCACACACGTAAAACATTTGGCCATATTCATAACATATTTGGACTCTCCGAGGGCCAGGAAATAAGGAGATTTTATTAAATCTCGCTGTCGCTCTATATCACGCACCCTTTGTTTGATGGTACTTTTCACCTGGGCACCGCTCTGCGCTGTTACCAGGTTTTAAGGCCATGCAACTGCTGCAGGTCTTATTCCTGCCCTGATTTCTCTTGTCCCTGGTACAGCTCAAACCTGTGATTCTTTTCAAGACATTTGCTGCTCCCGTGCGCTATGTTTTTCCCCACAAAATGGACAGTGTTCACTGTATGCGGGTCCAGATACTAGGGAGGGCCTTAAAGGAAGCGGTCCCAAGGCATCTGGGGTGGGCGAAGTAAGAAGGTGCAACACGGAGGTTGGAGTGAGGGAATTTCCCAGACTCTGTGCCTGGAGGTACAGTCCCCACAGCTAGGAAAACGGAATCAAAAGTGGTTTTCTCTCTACCAGTGGTAAAAGGAGTTGGTGGAGCACTTTCCTCTATATGTATTATACTCCCCAGAGACTGGTTATAGAATCATAGAATCCTAGAGTTGGAAGGGGCCAGACAGACCATCTAGTCCAGCCCCCTGCCCAGTGCAGGACCAGCCCAAAGCATCTCTGACAAATATTCGTCCAGCCACTTCTTGAAATCTGTCAGTGAAGGGGAGCCAACCACCTCCCTAGGCAGCTGATTCCACTTTTGGACCACTCTGACCATGAAAAAGTATTTCCTGATATCCAGCCGATACCTTTCTGTATATAATTTAAACCTGTTGCTTTGGGTCCTCTCCTCTGCTGCCAACTGGAACAGCTCCTTGCCCTCCTCCAAATGACAGCCTTTCAAATGTTTAAAGAGAGCAATCATAGCCCTCCTGCGATTTCGATGCTATGGCCCTTTTAATACAACCCAAGACTGAATTGGCCGTTTTTGCCACAGCATCACACTGACTGCTCATATTTACTTTACAATCCACCCTTTTCCCAAGATCTCTTTCGCATACACTAATCCCCGGAAACGTATCCCACATTCAGTATTTGTGCTTGACATTTTTGTGGCCCAGACGTAATACTGTGCATTTATCTTTGTTGAATTGCATCCTGTTTGCAACCGCCCACTTCTCCAGAGTATTCGGGTCTTGTTGAATTTTAACTCTATCTTCTTGGGTGTTTGCTACTCCTCCCAACTTGGTTGTCCAAGACCCTGCGCAAGCAGAAATGCAAGTGGGGATACAGTAAGTCTGACTTCGTGCAAGAGGCTACTGTGGTCTTTTGCTTGCATTTCTGCTTGCACAAGAGCTCTAGCACCAGTGGAACTTTTGCACAGGACCCAATCGTGTATGTGTGTGCACACCAAGTCATTTACACAATGGAGCAAACATACATTCAAAGCACGCAACTGAGACACTGGTCTTTTCAACCCCATTCTTTCCAGAGTACAAAATTGGAGTGAATACATATTCAGATACTCAAACAACTGTACACACTCACACACATACACAATGCAATGCACAGAAAACCCCAAAGAAAGCTGGTTCTTACTAAGCCGCTTCGGCTGGGCCGTCCCCCGACAGAGGAGGCCACGGAACTGACGGAGCTGATGGAGGAACTGCTGGGGCTATGGGTCAAGGCTGAGACCCCCATTGCCAGCCTCTTGCTCTTCTTGGCTTTGGCAGGGCTGGTGGATGGGAAGCCAATCCGAATCACTTTGTGTATAGGAGCAAAGAGGCCGAACTTGGGCGGGCACTGAAAATACCTGGAGAAGGAAGAGAGACAAGCAGAGATCGTATTCCAGCTATTCTAATAAAACCAAAGCTCCGGGACAATGGTTCTCTTCTCAGGCCTGGAAGGCGAAATGGAGCCTCCACATTCAGAGGCAGTCTCTCTCTGAATGCCAGCTGCCGAGGGGAAGGCTCTGGCCTCACCCTGGTTATGGGCTTACAGAAGCATCTGGGGGACTGCAGTCAGAAATGTGATGCCGCACTACAGGCACCAGGCGAGACGCCTCACGATTAGATGCCTTCCCCATCTGCCCAGAGACAGGCCAGCAGTTTCCAGAAAAACTAGAACCAGAAGTAGCTCAGGGCAGATTTCCGGGTTGATCCGGAAAAGTTAACAGCGTCCCGTCGGAGCCTGTGGGGCGACCTGACTTTGTAACTCTGGAGCAGCTGGATCTGCAGCGACCATCAGAAGGGGGCGTGTGGGTCTGAGACCCGTTCTGAATTGTTTTTTGCAAAGACGGGGCAGAACAGCTGCTTCGAAATGATTCATTTTCTCCTCTGGTGGGAAAACTCAGAGAGGGTTCCTTTCCCTCCGCCTTGGCTATGCCTTCCTTTGACAGACGGCTGGGACAGCTGCCAGCTGCTCTGTGTAAATCCAAGGAGGTATTTTGGAACAGCTGCTCACATCTGGGGGAAGTACTCAGCAAGTTTATTAAAACCTCCCCTCGACTTTTTTGGGTGGTTAGTGGATGCAATGTTGCCAGTGAGTCTTCCACGTTGCTGTACAAAGACAAGCCCTGGCATTCTCCCTTGGGGGAGCGGCTGCCCTGCCCCACGATTAGAAAGGGTCCCCTCCGCATTACTTTGGCTTCTGAATCTACCCCCACCAAGGGCAACGGAGTCATTTTCCTCCTGAAAATCCTCTTGTTCCTTAGCTGTTTTAACCCTCACCGGGGGAAAAGTCCAGATAATCAGTGGCTGCCTTTTGCAAAAGAAAAACGAACCCTATGAAAAAGGACATTAGAGCGGCACCTGACCTGTTCTTACTCTGAGTGCAAACAAAGAATAAATGCAACTCCAAAATCTTCCCACTCTCCCCTCCCCTCAACTCAGTTATCCACCTCTGTACGTTTTCTGGAATAGACCAGGAAGCAGTTAAGAAATTCATAAGCAACCCGGCATCCATTCTCCTTCCCAAAGGGCTTGTGTTTGGGTGGCCACTCATTCCAAAAAACTGCAGAAAAGGGCAACTCGAATGATAAAAGGGTTGGAACACTTTCCCTATGAGGAAAGGTTAAGGCGCTTAGGGTTCTTTAGCTTGGAGAAACGATGACTGAGGGGTGCCATGATCGAGGTTTATAAGATTATGCATGGGAAAGAGCAGGTAGAGAAAGAGGTACTTTTCTCCCTTTCTCACAATATAAGAACTCATGGGCACTCCATGAAATTGCTGAGCGGTCGGGTTAGAACGGATTAAAGGAAGTACTTCTTCACCCAAAGAGTGATTAACACATGGAATTCACTGCCACAGGAAGTGGTGGCGGCTAAAAGCATGGACGGCTTCAAGAGGGAACTAGATAAGCATATGGAGCAGAGGTCCATCAGTGGCTATTAGCCACAAGGTATAGATAGGGGCTCTGGGGAAAGTGATGCTCTGTCTTCTTGGTGCTTGGGGGGGTCAACAGTGGGAGGGCTTCTGATGTCCTGGCCCCACTGGTGGACCTCCTGATGCCACTGGTATTTCTGGCCACTGTGTGATACCGAGTGTTGGACTGGATGGGCCTTTGGCCTGATCCAACATTGGCGTCTCTTATGTTCTTATCCCATCCCCAGTTGTCTTATACCTCAGGTGATTCCCGGCAGCTTGCTATCACTGGGGCAGCAGTAGTTCCAGCACTTTGGGAGGAAAACGTTTTATTGGCCCATAATGCACACACATCTTACTGCAGATTTCCAGAGCAGTAACTTGGGGTTCTGTGTCCACCTTATGCATCATTCTTTTCCCTCTGGTATATTTATTCTGCAGCTACAATTTGAAAAAACTGCACTTTTCTAAATCAGGGTAGAATGTCACTTGTGACATGTGTGGGGGGTGGCATCCATTTTTTTAATTTACACAATTGCTATATCACAGCTGTGCAGTAGTGTCCAGCAAGCTCCTTCCATTTAAATCCTTGTGGTTCAGGTTTTGCACATGCATTTTAGTTCCCTGAATGAAAGCGAAAAGAAAGGAATACAGGCAAAGGGGGAAAACCCACTGTTGAAACTGACAAGACTTTTTCTGAAATTGACAAGCAGCTGTGAAGCCCCATTTTCCCTATTGCCAAGCACTAGGGCATTCTCTGCTGTGTTATTGGCCACTTTGAAAAATGGGAAACAGTCACACGTTCTTGTAATATGGGGGAACATGTTGAGTGTACAGAATGCCCAGTAGAACCCACTGACACTGGCATTGCAACTTGTGATCGTTGGCAACATGTGTGTGGGTGCGTGCGCCTGTGCAAAGTCGACTGCAACTCTACCATGCTTTGCACAGGGCTGCAATTTGTATGGGGGAGGAGTCCTCTGGCAGAAGCTCTGGAGAGGTTTTATAGTCTTGTGCCACTAAATTAAAAATAAATAAATTTGGAGTATATTTTCACCAATGCCCTAGTGCAGCTGCATAGTAATGCTAATTTCCTGCCCTTCTTTGCAAATTTGTGTGGTTTTCTCTTTGTGATTCTCTAATTTGATCCTGTGCACTGGTCGTGATCTTGGCGGTTTTTTAGAACTTGTCCTGTGTGGATTGCACTCTGTCCTCCAAATGGATTGATCCCAAGCAATTCTTAAGTTCGGCAGTTTGCAAAAGGTCCATGTTGCTCAGTCGCCATTTTAAAGTTAAGCTTCTGGAGACTGCCAAAATGGTTCACCCCAAAACCTTTTTCACTAAAGCATTAAAGGGAAAAATGTTTTCAGAGCTTTAGGCTTCCCATCCCAGACTCTCTCTCTCTTTACATCTCATGTCAATTTCATTCTATGCTGATGATCCCCCCCTTTATTTTGTTTGCATGCAGCAATGAAATCCTTATGTTTGTTCTTTTAACTGGGGACACTGCCCTTTGCCTCTAAGCTAAACGTAGACCTCACACAGCTCCTTTTAAAGTTCCCCCTGTTGTTTAAAGTGTTTTTATTCAGTGATCCAAGACTAGTGATAGTCTAATATTGCTGGACTCATGCTGCTTGTAAAAAAAAAATTAAAAAATAAAAAATGAGGGGAAAATGGAGCTTGTACACCAATGAAGGGGGGTGGAATATGCAGAGTGGGTGGAACGACCTCAATGTAGGTGGGGGAGTGACCTTTGAGGGGTGGCAAAAGGGTGGGGGGAATCCAAGGGAATCTGTACGCTTTTGAATTACCTTCAGCTTGGAAGCGAAACAAGGGAAAAATTGGCACAAAAGCAGGCTCAGAAAATCCAGGGAAACAGCGACCAGCAAGCAAACTGAGCGCTGAAAGGAGGGAAATCAATGCAGAATAACAAAGAAAACCCACTGGACATGCACGTTGAAAGCAAGGGGAAACACCCGTGAGTAATAGGCCTCTCTCCCTCCCTCCCTCTCTCTCTCTCTTCACTTTCTCCACCCCCTGCTATTTTAACCACTATCTTCTCTCCTTTTCTTCCTAAGCTGTTCTTGCTCAGAAACACTATGAAAGATGGGAAGGGGATCAGTGTTCCCTCTAAGCTGAATTAGTGTGAGCTAGCTCACCGTTTTTTAGCCTCCAGCTCACAGATTTTTGTCTTAGCTCAGGAAGGATGGCTCTAGAGCAAACTAATTTATGCAGCAGCCAAATCGCTCACTCACAACTTTAATGCCAGTAGCTCACAAAGCAGAATTTTTGCTCACAAAATTCCACAGCTTAGAGGGAACATTGGAAGGGATCATGACTTGGTGACAGAGTCATCTGCTTGGCATGTCGATGCTCCCAAGTTCAATCCCCAGCATCTCCAGTTAAAAGGATCATGTAGCTGGTGATGTGAAAGTCTTCTGCCTCAGATTTTGGGAAGCCACTGCCAATCAGAGTAGACAGCCCTGACTTTGACCGACCAATGGCCTGACTCAGTATAAGGTCGCTCCACATGCAGCTCTGCATGCTCTTATCATTCAGTACCTTGTTCCAGCCACAGCGCCGTCATTCTTCCCCAACGGTTCATCCAGCTCCACTCCACACCACTCTCCTTTGGCAAAATCCGTTTCCCCCACATAGCGCACAACACCTGTTTTTGTTCCACCAACCTGTTGATTGTTGATGCAGGAGAACAGAGAGAGAGAGAAAGAAAAGGAGTTTAAAACTCTAGACGAGTTCTTGTCAATTGCTTCTAAAGCCAGAGCCTTTTCCCAGTGATCAAAGAATGGCTAACTAAGGCCCCAGAGGCTGGTGAAATGGGCAAACTCACTCTGTTTTGTTTCTTCGTCAAGTTTGGGGAAACGTGATTCCATTGATTGGAATACCTATTGTAACAGCGTCGCTATTCAGATACGCGTTTCCATGTAACGTTGAGGTCAATATCTTTAAAGATGTAACAAAAAGGTAAGTAAGAAGTGGAATATGAAAACAGGACACAGGAAGATGGGACAGATTACTCCCACTATATTCAATGTACACGTGTGGAGTCTGCACGAGATAACAATACGGGGATCACACTGGCCTAACTGATATGGCTGTTAAAAGCATTACCAGATAAGATGTGTAAGCAATGACTGTGCTACGCAAATGCCAGGCATTTTTATTATGTGCCCGGACAAGGAATCATAGGAGATGGGAGCAATGTAGAAAACTCCACCCCCACCCCCCAAAGATCTCACGTCCTCTGGGATTCTAAAAGTTTTTAATGGCTTCAGCAAACTACCCCCCCTCCTCCTCCAATGACTCTCAAGTGCTATCAGCGTTCTGCACTTCCTGGAGCGTATTCAGTTCATATCACGGCATATGGTTCATTTACAGGCATTTTTCTACATACCCGGTGGGTCTCCTGACTGCATACAAACCCTCCCCTTGTCTGTTCCTAGCTTGGTATTGCTCCTTACATCCTCCACATGGGGAAAGCAGCAGCCATTTTACTGTGGGATACCATCATACACACATGATTGTGAAGAGGTGTTACCTAGGAACTAGTGACAGTCTTTTCCAAGTTTAAAAGAAGAAGAGAAGAGACTGGATTTATACCCCGCCCTTCACTACCCAAAGGTGTCTCAGAGCGGCTTACAGAACCCTTTCCCTTCCCCTCCCCACACAGACACCCTGTGAGGTAGGTGGGGCTGAGAGAGCTCTTGACAGAAACTGCTCTTTTTCAAGGACAGCTCTTATCAGAACTACGGCTTGCCCAAGGTCATCCAGCCAGGTGCAAGTGGAGGGGTGGGGAATCAAACCCGGTTTTCCCAGATTAGAGTCCGCGCACTTAACCACTACACCAAACTGGCTCTCCTACACCAAAGATTCTCTTGCTTGTCTGTTCCAGATACAATCTCCTCATGACTTTATGGATGACAGTTGAGCACCAGATTACTCTCCTTTGTGTATTCCCTTCCTGCCTACCCTCCCCCATCCGTTTTCTTCAGGGATGATCCCTCAGCCTGGTCTCTCGTGAAACTGACAAGGTTGGGGGAAGCCTTATCAATTTTAGGGTGGGTGTTGTTTTTTTAATTAAAAAGAAGAAGAGATTGGATTTATACTCCTTCACTATCCGAAGGAGTCTCAGAACAGCATACAATCTCCTTTCCCTTCCCCTCCCCACCACAGACACCCTGTGTGGTAGGTGGGGCGGAGAGAGCTCTTTCGAGGACTGCCCTTGAGAGAACAGCTCTGAAAGAACTTGTGACTGACCCAAGGTCACACCAGCAGCTGCATGTGGAGGAGTGGGGAATCAAACCCAGTTCTCCCAGATTAGAGTTCACGCTCCTAACCACTACACCAAACTGGCTTGAAGAATTACTGTGCACAGCAGTGCTCATGCACATACATATTCATGGACGGGATGTGTACACACATGTGAGTGTGAAGAGTCCAGTTACGTTAAGAGCAGGTGGGAGAATTGTAGGAGCCAGAAGGTAACGTGCAGGGCTCTTTTTGTAGAAAAAGCCCAGCAGGAACTCATTAGTATAATAGGCCACACCCAACAGCAGGAACTCATTAGCATATATTGGGCCACACCCCTGACAGCACAGCTCATTAGCACATTAGGCCGCACCCCCATGTTACCAGAAGTGTGGTTATCCAGCCACACCCACCTTTTGCTTGTTATTCTGTTTACCTTGTTTGTTGTCAAAACCCAGGGCCTTTTTTTGTAGCAGGAACTCCTTTGCATGTTAGGCCACACCCCCCTAATGTAGCCAATCCTAATGAGTTTCTGCTGGTGGGTGTGGCCTGTTATGCTAATGAGTTCCTGCTGGGCGTGGCCAACTCGGGAGCCAGCCGGAACTCCGTTCCTGTGCGTTCCTGCCCAAAAATAGCCCTGGCTAATGTGAGAAGATGGCTGCTGTCTTGTAAGAGCCAGGGGGGTTGTCTCTCGCCTGCTGTGGGTACTGAATGACTGGGAGAGCACAAGACCCGAAGGGCCCTTGGCTCGTAGCCCATGGCTCACAGCCTGTGAGCTGTTGGACCAGTCCAGGGGATGCAAGCCCAGCTGGAGATGGTGGCTTGTTTCTTTACACTTGTTTGTTTAAATTTAAATTCTATTAGTGTTTTATTCTAAGGCTCGTTGGGTCCTGGCTGGGGAGGAAAGCATAATTTAAAAAACCACATCAATGAAGTGGAGGAGGGGGGGTCAGGGAAGGAAACGGCTCAATGGCAGCTGTTCCTGTTCTGGGGAAAGGAGAAAGAATTGGGTAGGGAGCTGTGATTGCGAACAGCAATTAAAAAGGGAGAGAGAGCTGAAAATGTAAACTTCTCAGACGTGCACAACCGCTGAAGAAATGACAGGTGGTGGAGAAATGCGAGGTCAAGTTTCAGCTATCTTATGGTGGTTTTCAAGACCAGAGACATTCAAAGGTGGTTTGCCCTTGCCTCCCTCTGCGTAGCAACCCTGGACTTCCTTGGTGGTCTCCCATCCAAGTACTAACCAGCTTCAATTCCAAGACCCAACAATGGTACTTTGCCATCGCCTGCCTCTGTGTCGCAACCCTGGACTTCATTTGGTAGTCTCTCATTCAAGTGGCCGACCCTGCTTAACTTCCAAGACCCAACAGTGGTGGTTTGCCATTGCCTACCTCTGCGTAGACTCCTGCCAACCTAGCAGTTCGAAAGCAAGAAATTGCAAGTAGATAAATTGGTACCACTTCAGTGGGAAGGTAACAGCGTTCCGTGCGCCTTGGTGATTAGTCATGCCGGCCACATGACCACGGAAACGTCTTCGGACAGCGCTGGCTCTTCGGCTTGGAAACGGAGATGAGCACCGCAACCCTAGAGTCGGACTCGACTGGCTTTCGAGCAAGGGAACCTTTACCTTTACCTTTTTACCTCTGCGTAGTAACCTTGGACTTCCTTAGTGGTCTCCCATCCAAATACCAACCAGGGCTGACCTTGCTTAGCTTCCAAGATCTGATGAGATCAGGCTACCCTGGGCCATCCAGGACAGGGCAAATGATGGGTAGATGACTAAAAACAAACACTAGGCTGAGCACAGAAGAGAGAAAAAAAGGAATGACGAAATCCCATTGTAAATCCACCTTCCCATGTGGTTGGTGATCAGTTGACTGAAAAACTTGATATGGCCTGACCTGGATCGCCCAGGCAAAACCCAATCTCGTCAGATCTCGGAAGCTAAGCAGGGCTGACCCTGGCAAGTATCTGGATGGGAGACCTCCAAGGAATACCAGAGGTGGGACGCAGAGGCGGGCTAATCAAGCCACCTCTCCGAACGTCCTCCATGCCCCAGTAGGAGCTGCCAGAGGTTGCCATGACCAGGGGTCATTTCCTGCAGGAGCGCACAGGAGCGGAGCTCCGGCAGTAAAGAGCCCAGGGGGTGGGCACATGCAACAAGCCCCACCCCCTGCACCCAGCAGCCCTCAGTCAGAGCAACAAGCAGCCAGGTAAGTTGCAGAGCTCCCCCCAGCCCCCCAGTCTAGTGGCACCTTTAAGACTAAGTTTTATTCAGGTACAAGCTCTCCCTCCTCTGCGAGGACAGATCTGCACGTCCCCCCCCCCAATAGCTACCAATCCAAAACAGTCCAGTGGTGCCTTCTGACAGACTTCTGGTGATGTCAGGCGGTGTGACATATGCAAATAAGTTATGCTAATGAGCTCCTGCCTCTCTTTTTCTATGAAATGACCCCTGGCCATGACACACACAAAAATACCAAACAAGAGAGGAAAACTGGACGCCCTTTAAAAGCACACGGCCATCGTTCACACACACACGTGCCAACCGCCAAAGCACTTCGAGCAGCACATTAAAAAAAAAAAAACCCTGGCCAAACCATCTTCATTTCTGATTATTTTAACCGCTTGAACCCGGAGCCAGACTTCAACAGCATTGCGAATAGGGGTCACCGCTCCCACCCTCCTCGCTGTTTGCTCCAAAAAGGATTTACAGATAGATTTTTAAGCCAATAATGAGGGATTGGAGGCTGCTGTTAATTGCATGACCTTGCTAGAACTCCCCCGCTGCAGCTTTCCAGCCGTTGGGCGCACCAAAGGAATTCACATGTGGCAGCCAGCTCGAAGGGGGGGGGGAGGATACCATCCGATTGGCAAGCAGCTCTATTCAGCCCAGATAATCTGCTAATGCCTCTCCAATAAATGTGCATTTAATACAAAATGTTGCTGACCATTCTAGTGGCTCCACCGGCGGAACAGACTTGCTGAGTACGATTTGCTGACAGTCATAGAATCCTGAGTGGACACAAATAATGTTGTCATGGCTATTTATTGAGCCCCTGGCCTTTTCTCTGGCCTTCTGTTTGATAGATGAGACTCTTTCTCAATGGCCAATAGACACCTAGAAGACGTTTCTTATTCATTTTGTACTGTAATGATTACGGGTGTTTGGCCAGAGGCTACAGTCCATTTGCTTGGGGAAGGGTTCGAAACAAACACTTTGGCTACCAGCTTTTTATTTATCTGGAATGGGGGTCCCTCAGTAGAGTGGCTACAGGTGCCACGGCATCCACCGAGATGTTTCCTGGTGCCCACCAAGTGTTTCGAGGAAGTGGGCAGGGGTCTCTGGCTTTTGCCCAGCAAGGCTTCTGATTGGCTGTGTGGACTAAAAAAAAAATACTGTTTCGGCAGCAGCTACCAC